CACTCGTTTCGACTTACACTAAACCTATCACTACTAATTTCACAAATGATCACTCACTCAATTCACACGATTGTAGAGTTACAGAGTTCAAGAGAACAATCAATATTCACACATTTCTCATCATTGAAAGACATCAGTTGAAGTGGTAAGAGTTTAGTTACAATAATGCATACCATTCATTTGATACTCATTCGAAATTAGGTAGTTCAGGTATTGATTGGAATGATGATGATGATGATGATGATGATGATGATGATGATGTTGATGATGATGTTTTCTGCATCTGTGTTCATCTTTCGGCAAAACACTATCACTCAATCACAAATGCACCACAAATCACAATCAATCACAAAGCAATATAAACAACTCAGGTGTGTAATCACAATATACTAGTGTAAACTAGAAATAAACATCTGATAACATGTAGGCTGGTTGTTTAGTAGCACACTTATCATTGATTTCGAATTGTGTAATTGAGGGACCACATGTTCCATAAGATTGACAGATTGAATAATGAATGTGAGAACTGGAGAAAATATGGTATAGAGAAGTATTTACTGAATGATTAAACGAAGTGATCCAGTTCTACTGAACATTCGTCATCAATCGAATAAGATTGTTTTCAATATGCATGATCACATAAATTTGTGAGGCATCATAATCAGTTGTTGAATAAGTACTATTTTTAAGTATCCGTATCATTCACTACAAGCGGCATCCATCTGTGAGATGATTTCAGTCGTGACGTTGATTAATAAGTCATCATTCAATTGAGATCCCGAATATCGGAGCATGATTTCAATCAATGAAATTATAAATGACGAGAGAATATTTGTGTCAATCCATTCACATTACACAAATACCAACTAAGGCAGATCGATAATAGTACCGAATTTCAACCACAGGAAATTACATTTACCTAATAACATTTTGCCATTATTTAAACTCAGTAGAATAGGAGATAAACCGTTGAGGTTCGAAGATGTAGACACTGGATTGAAATATGATTCGATAATTAACACTTAGATACATGGGTACATAGAACAAACAAGTTAGTAGCATGTGCATGTACTTGGAATAATGCCAGTTACTTACGTTTTAGTCTATGCAATACTCAAAATCGAACAATCCCATAATGTCACATATATTTTATCATGTTGATTAATATTTGATGAAAATCCTGTTTAGTGAATAACCTAAGTGTAAGTGGATCACACCGAATTCTTCTGAATGCTTCAGAAAGCATCTTTCTGTGTTCGAATACTATCAGTTCTAATCGGAATAAACTTCCCGCTCAGAACGCTAACACTCCTACATCCATTCAAACTACTACTACTGTGGTGTGTGCTACCGATGTCGACAGATACAAGTAGTATGTATCACCAGTCAGAAGTAGAATGCCTGGAGGAAGAACGTTGAGAAGATCGACAAGAAGAGAGTGATTGATATGTAAATAAAGCAACAATAAAGTCTGAGACAACTGAAGGATATTTTGTAAATGAAGTATTTACTGTATGGTTATCGATTTCAACTCGTTATCACATTCACTGCATGTAATCAACTCTTACTAATTTGTTTTCTTAATCACGTATCTATATTATTACCGGTTGACTGACAACTATTCACTGTGTTTCCATATAAACCATCAATGGCAAACACAAACAATCTCAGTAGTTCCGTTTATCACAATTCATTCATCAACATACTCCACCATTCAGTGACTATAGATGATAGAGCATAGACAATGGTAATTTAGAGTAAAGTGTACACTTATTACGTAATATGTTGGTTGGGATGAATGAACGATTTTGTCAGTTGTCTGATTGTCTATCGAAACTATGCATATCATATCAGGTATTTGAATTCATATGACTGGACAATGAAGGTTTGGTACATTTGTAACTGTTGGAATAGGAATCAGGTATATATGGTTCAGTTAACCAGTGTTGTTTATTGTTTGTGTATCTTCAATTTTGTGAAATGTACGAAATCGTTTAATACATGATAATATTGTTTATTCAGTGGGAACACTATTCACTTCACTATGTATCTACAAGTCATGATAGATTTGCTCTGTACATAGATCGCCATCTAATGTTTTGTGTTAAATAATTCTACATCTATTCATCTTATAGTTGATATCAAATTTTCATGTTAAACTGCCATTCATGAGTGGTACAATATCAAGTAAGATCTCAGTGTGTTAATTTTGTTACCGAACAATTCACTCAGTGAAATTCACTCCCACTAGACTCATTGACAAGTTGTCTTCATGAAAACAAATGTGAATGAAGTAGGAAACTTACTAATTCTTGGTGCTTCAACAAATTAGACTAGAATATCAAAGGTTTGTGCAATTCACAGTGGTCATCTTATACACTTAATAAACATGTTCATGTGTGTTAACCAGTAATATTTTTAATGAACGTAAAGCAGTTTCACTGTCTGAATGCTTTCCCAGTTTGTTTTTCACAATTCCATACTGACGATTATTATAAGCTCAATTGTGACTAGTTTCAAGTGGGAATTCTTGGAATCTGTAATCAATAAAATCTACCAGTGTCGTGTTTGAAACAGTTACTCACTGAAGACAATGAAAACAGTTTTTCAATATCGTTGATTGATTGAAGTTTGATTAGTATACGATTAGATTCCAGCTCTTTGGTTTAAAGGTTCTGAGTTTACTGAAGAGTTTCATACTGGGACAAAATGGTCGTCAATAAACATTCAGTGCTTTCAGGTTTTCAAGGGTTATCTTCCTTACATTGGTTCATGATTTTAATAAAATTCAACAATCTCCACATCCTCATAATTACAGTTACTTAATAATTTCATGAATAATCTGACCAACTAAATCTTTCTAAAAGATACAACAGTCTACAATTTGTACTATTAAATTAAATATGATTTATAGTCCTGTTGTGGTGTGTACTACTAATGTCGATAGATATAAGTAGTATGTATCATCAATTCAATGTGAAATACCTGGTGGCAGAAGGTTAAGAAGAGAGAGAAGAAAAGAGAATGAGAACAAAGAATGAATGGTATGGAAACGAAAGAACAATGAAGTCTGAGGCAATCAATTGACATTTTACAAATGAAGTATTCACTGTATGATTCTCAGATTGTACTAAGAGATTCTGTAATGTTGTATTCAAATACATTCGATTGTTCCAACTTGTTTTATGGTTCACTATTCTGTAATATAGAAAACTGTATTTAGTAATTCGACTTGCTTACACATAATCAACTAAAACTCTAAAGCCAGTTATCCATCGAATGTAAAAGACGGTTACATAGTTTGTTACTAGGGTTTCCCCATGTAAACATAAATCACTTAATAGTAAGAAAAAATTGTTACTTGGGAAAGAAATACTAATTATTCATTCTATTCTACTCTTTCTACTCTCTAAACCATATGTTCAATACTTCATTTGTACATCCTTCATTATTTATCACGAACTTTATTATCAGTATAGTGGTTGTGGAGATTGTTAAGTTTTTGATTGAGATCATGAACCGATTGATGTTAAACCACCATTGAAAACCTGGAAGCACTGGACGGCAGTTTCGTCCTATTGTGAAACTCGTTAGCAGTGCGCATCCACGATCCCGCTCGCGGGATTCCAACCAAGGGCATTCAGTCTCGCGTGCGAACGCTTAACTCACTGAACCACTGAGCCGGCATCCAATGGTGTTAATGTCTAACCTCAACCAATCCACGAAGTTGCGCAACCATTTTCCATTGTACTGAGGTAGACACCTGTTTTCACCGGACACGGATTAGTGTTATGTATTACTGATGTCGACATAAGTAGCATACACCACAATATTACAGGTGAAGATAGTTAACTTTAAACTATAGTTTCTAAGTATAATGAATCTATTGAAATGGGATCTTCTGTGAATCATTAAATTTCTACACAAACTACTAAATGGAATTATAGTTTATTTCAAGAAACCTGAACGTGTGGTTATTGATCATTTGAATTGTGGAGGGTGAACAATCATACAAGAAGCTTGTGCTAACAAGTTATAATGAAACCACCGCTTTAATTGACTTTACACTATGTAACCTTTGTTGAGATATTATGTAGTTGGAGGCAGTCGGAGAATCCTTGAATTCACCTACATTTCGTGTTAGATGATATTCATCAATTGTCTGAGAGTTTCTAAGCCATATTAATCAGTCTCACAGTGTCAGACGTTGTTACTATAGCTATTAAAGAAATGGTCTCAAGAATTGTTTATCGAAAATTAATCGTTGAGTAGTGACCAATGCCATGTTTATTTAGTACATGATGCTGACCGAATCCGATGGATTCACTTTCAGTTAGTTGATCATTCTATCATTATTCTATCCACAACATCAATGAATGTTATGAGTACTCTATTCACTCGACTAGTCATACCTGTTCATTTCAACTAATCTACAAATGCCAATCGTAATGAGGAGAGCGCTTTATGAGTTGAACAATTGTTTGTGTTTCTCAAACATTTCACAATTCTCCAGTATGTAATCAGTGAACATTCTACTAGATTGTGTAACAAAATACAAACACACACAAACTTGTAGTGATTCGGATTCGGATAATTAAAAATAGTACTTATTCAACAACTGATTATGATGCCTCACAAATTTATGTGATCATGCATATTGAAAACAATCTTATTCGATTGATGACGAATGTTCAGTAGAACTGGATCACTTCGTTTAATCATTCAGTAAATACTTCTCTATACCATATTTTCTCCAGTTCTCACATTCATTATTCAATCTGTCAATCTTATGGAACATGTGGTCCCTCAATTACACAATTCGAAATCAATGATAAGTGTGCTACTAAACAACCAGCCTACATGTTATCAGATGTTTATTTCTAGTTTACACTAGTATATTGTGATTACACACCTGAGTTGTTTATATTGCTTTGTGATTGATTGTGATTTGTGGTGCATTTGTGATTGAGTGATAGTGTTTTGCCGAAAGATGAACACAGATGCAGAAAACATCATCATCATCATCATCATCATCATCATCATCATCATCATCATCATCATCATCATCATCATCATCATCATCATCATCATCATCATCATCATCATCATCATCATCATCATCATCATCATCATCATCATCATCATCATCATCATCATCATCATCATCATCATCATCATCATCATCATCATCATCATCATCATCATCATCATCATCATCATCATCATCATCATCATCATCATCATCATCATCATCATCATCATCATCATCATCATCATCATCATCATCATCATCATCATCATCATCATCATCATCATCATCATCATCATCATCATCATCATCATCATCATCATCATCATCATCATCATCATCATCATCATCATCATCATCATCATCATCATCATCATCATCATCATCATCATCATCATCATCATCATCATCATCATCATCATCATCATCATCATCATCATCATCATCATCATCATCATCATCATCATCATCATCATCATCATCATCATCATCATCATCATCATCATCATCATCATCATCATCATCATCATCATCATCATCATCATCATCATCATCATCATCATCATCATCATCATCATCATCATCATCATCATCATCATCATCATCATCATCATCATCATCATCATCATCATCATCATCATCATCATCATCATCATCATCATCATCATCATCATCATCATCATCATCATCATCATCATCATCATCATCATCATCATCATCATCATCATCATCATCATCATCATCATCATCATCATCATCATCATCATCATCATCATCATCATCATCATCATCATCATCATCATCATCATCATCATCATCATCATCATCATCATCATCATCATCATCATCATCATCATCATCATCATCATCATCATCATCATCATCATCATCATCATCATCATCATCATCATCATCATCATCATCATCATCATCATCATCATCATCATCATCATCATCATCATCATCATCATCATCATCATCATCATCATCATCATCATCATCATCATCATCATCATCATCATCATCATCATCATCATCATCATCATCATCATCATCATCATCATCATCATCATCATCATCATCATCATCATCATCATCATCATCATCATCATCATCATCATCATCATCATCATCATCATCATCATCATCATCATCATCATCATCATCATCATCATCATCATCATCATCATCATCATCATCATCATCATCATCATCATCATCATCATCATCATCATCATCATCATCATCATCATCATCATCATCATCATCATCATCATCATCATCATCATCATCATCATCATCATCATCATCATCATCATCATCATCATCATCATCATCATCATCATCATCATCATCATCATCATCATCATCATCATCATCATCATCATCATCATCATCATCATCATCATCATCATCATCATCATCATCATCATCATCATCATCATCATCATCATCATCATCATCATCATCATCATCATCATCATCATCATCATCATCATCATCATCATCATCATCATCATCATCATCATCATCATCATCATCATCATCATCATCATCATCATCATCATCATCATCATCATCATCATCATCATCATCATCATCATCATCATCATCATCATCATCATCATCATCATCATCATCATCATCATCATCATCATCATCATCATCATCATCATCATCATCATCATCATCATCATCATCATCATCATCATCATCATCATCATCATCATCATCATCATCATCATCATCATCATCATCATCATCATCATCATCATCATCATCATCATCATCATCATCATCATCATCATCATCATCATCATCATCATCATCATCATCATCATCATCATCATCATCATCATCATCATCATCATCATCATCATCATCATCATCATCATCATCATCATCATCATCATCATCATCATCATCATCATCATCATCATCATCATCATCATCATCATCATCATCATCATCATCATCATCATCATCATCATCATCATCATCATCATCATCATCATCATCATCATCATCATCATCATCATCATCATCATCATCATCATCATCATCATCATCATCATCATCATCATCATCATCATCATCATCATCATCATCATCATCATCATCATCATCATCATCATCATCATCATCATCATCATCATCATCATCATCATCATCATCATCATCATCATCATCATCATCATCATCATCATCATCATCATCATCATCATCATCATCATCATCATCATCATCATCATCATCATCATCATCATCATCATCATCATCATCATCATCATCATCATCATCATCATCATCATCATCATCATCATCATCATCATCATCATCATCATCATCATCATCATCATCATCATCATCATCATCATCATCATCATCATCATCATCATCATCATCATCATCATCATCATCATCATCATCATCATCATCATCATCATCATCATCATCATCATCATCATCATCATCATCATCATCATCATCATCATCATCATCATCATCATCATCATCATCATCATCATCATCATCATCATCATCATCATCATCATCATCATCATCATCATCATCATCATCATCATCATCATCATCATCATCATCATCATCATCATCATCATCATCATCATCATCATCATCATCATCATCATCATCATCATCATCATCATCATCATCATCATCATCATCATCATCATCATCATCATCATCATCATCATCATCATCATCATCATCATCATCATCATCATCATCATCATCATCATCATCATCATCATCATCATCATCATCATCATCATCATCATCATCATCATCATCATCATCATCATCATCATCATCATCATCATCATCATCATCATCATCATCATCATCATCATCATCATCATCATCATCATCATCATCATCATCATCATCATCATCATCATCATCATCATCATCATCATCATCATCATCATCATCATCATCATCATCATCATCATCATCATCATCATCATCATCATCATCATCATCATCATCATCATCATCATCATCATCATCATCATCATCATCATCATCATCATCATCATCATCATCATCATCATCATCATCATCATCATCATCATCATCATCATCATCATCATCATCATCATCATCATCATCATCATCATCATCATCATCATCATCATCATCATCATCATCATCATCATCATCATCATCATCATCATCATCATCATCATCATCATCATCATCATCATCATCATCATCATCATCATCATCATCATCATCATCATCATCATCATCATCATCATCATCATCATCATCATCATCATCATCATCATCATCATCATCATCATCATCATCATCATCATCATCATCATCATCATCATCATCATCATCATCATCATCATCATCATCATCATCATCATCATCATCATCATCATCATCATCATCATCATCATCATCATCATCATCATCATCATCATCATCATCATCATCATCATCATCATCATCATCATCATCATCATCATCATCATCATCATCATCATCATCATCATCATCATCATCATCATCATCATCATCATCATCATCATCATCATCATCATCATCATCATCATCATCATCATCATCATCATCATCATCATCATCATCATCATCATCATCATCATCATCATCATCATCATCATCATCATCATCATCATCATCATCATCATCATCATCATCATCATCATCATCATCATCATCATCATCATCATCATCATCATCATCATCATCATCATCATCATCATCATCATCATCATCATCATCATCATCATCATCATCATCATCATCATCATCATCATCATCATCATCATCATCATCATCATCATCATCATCATCATCATCATCATCATCATCATCATCATCATCATCATCATCATCATCATCATCATCATCATCATCATCATCATCATCATCATCATCATCATCATCATCATCATCATCATCATCATCATCATCATCATCATCATCATCATCATCATCATCATCATCATCATCATCATCATCATCATCATCATCATCATCATCATCATCATCATCATCATCATCATCATCATCATCATCATCATCATCATCATCATCATCATCATCATCATCATCATCATCATCATCATCATCATCATCATCATCATCATCATCATCATCATCATCATCATCATCATCATCATCATCATCATCATCATCATCATCATCATCATCATCATCATCATCATCATCATCATCATCATCATCATCATCATCATCATCATCATCATCATCATCATCATCATCATCATCATCATCATCATCATCATCATCATCATCATCATCATCATCATCATCATCATCATCATCATCATCATCATCATCATCATCATCATCATCATCATCATCATCATCATCATCATCATCATCATCATCATCATCATCATCATCATCATCATCATCATCATCATCATCATCATCATCATCATCATCATCATCATCATCATCATCATCATCATCATCATCATCATCATCATCATCATCATCATCATCATCATCATCATCATCATCATCATCATCATCATCATCATCATCATCATCATCATCATCATCATCATCATCATCATCATCATCATCATCATCATCATCATCATCATCATCATCATCATCATCATCATCATCATCATCATCATCATCATCATCATCATCATCATCATCATCATCATCATCATCATCATCATCATCATCATCATCATCATCATCATCATCATCATCATCATCATCATCATCATCATCATCATCATCATCATCATCATCATCATCATCATCATCATCATCATCATCATCATCATCATCATCATCATCATCATCATCATCATCATCATCATCATCATCATCATCATCATCATCATCATCATCATCATCATCATCATCATCATCATCATCATCATCATCATCATCATCATCATCATCATCATCATCATCATCATCATCATCATCATCATCATCATCATCATCATCATCATCATCATCATCATCATCATCATCATCATCATCATCATCATCATCATCATCATCATCATCATCATCATCATCATCATCATCATCATCATCATCATCATCATCATCATCATCATCATCATCATCATCATCATCATCATCATCATCATCATCATCATCATCATCATCATCATCATCATCATCATCATCATCATCATCATCATCATCATCATCATCATCATCATCATCATCATCATCATCATCATCATCATCATCATCATCATCATCATCATCATCATCATCATCATCATCATCATCATCATCATCATCATCATCATCATCATCATCATCATCATCATCATCATCATCATCATCATCATCATCATCATCATCATCATCATCATCATCATCATCATCATCATCATCATCATCATCATCATCATCATCATCATCATCATCATCATCATCATCATCATCATCATCATCATCATCATCATCATCATCATCATCATCATCATCATCATCATCATCATCATCATCATCATCATCATCATCATCATCATCATCATCATCATCATCATCATCATCATCATCATCATCATCATCATCATCATCATCATCATCATCATCATCATCATCATCATCATCATCATCATCATCATCATCATCATCATCATCATCATCATCATCATCATCATCATCATCATCATCATCATCATCATCATCATCATCATCATCATCATCATCATCATCATCATCATCATCATCATCATCATCATCATCATCATCATCATCATCATCATCATCATCATCATCATCATCATCATCATCATCATCATCATCATCATCATCATCATCATCATCATCATCATCATCATCATCATCATCATCATCATCATCATCATCATCATCATCATCATCATCATCATCATCATCATCATCATCATCATCATCATCATCATCATCATCATCATCATCATCATCATCATCATCATCATCATCATCATCATCATCATCATCATCATCATCATCATCATCATCATCATCATCATCATCATCATCATCATCATCATCATCATCATCATCATCATCATCATCATCATCATCATCATCATCATCATCATCATCATCATCATCATCATCATCATCATCATCATCATCATCATCATCATCATCATCATCATCATCATCATCATCATCATCATCATCATCATCATCATCATCATCATCATCATCATCATCATCATCATCATCATCATCATCATCATCATCATCATCATCATCATCATCATCATCATCATCATCATCATCATCATCATCATCATCATCATCATCATCATCATCATCATCATCATCATCATCATCATCATCATCATCATCATCATCATCATCATCATCATCATCATCATCATCATCATCATCATCATCATCATCATCATCATCATCATCATCATCATCATCATCATCATCATCATCATCATCATCATCATCATCATCATCATCATCATCATCATCATCATCATCATCATCATCATCATCATCATCATCATCATCATCATCATCATCATCATCATCATCATCATCATCATCATCATCATCATCATCATCATCATCATCATCATCATCATCATCATCATCATCATCATCATCATCATCATCATCATCATCATCATCATCATCATCATCATCATCATCATCATCATCATCATCATCATCATCATCATCATCATCATCATCATCATCATCATCATCATCATCATCATCATCATCATCATCATCATCATCATCATCATCATCATCATCATCATCATCATCATCATCATCATCATCATCATCATCATCATCATCATCATCATCATCATCATCATCATCATCATCATCATCATCATCATCATCATCATCATCATCATCATCATCATCATCATCATCATCATCATCATCATCATCATCATCATCATCATCATCATCATCATCATCATCATCATCATCATCATCATCATCATCATCATCATCATCATCATCATCATCATCATCATCATCATCATCATCATCATCATCATCATCATCATCATCATCATCATCATCATCATCATCATCATCATCATCATCATCATCATCATCATCATCATCATCATCATCATCATCATCATCATCATCATCATCATCATCATCATCATCATCATCATCATCATCATCATCATCATCATCATCATCATCATCATCATCATCATCATCATCATCATCATCATCATCATCATCATCATCATCATCATCATCATCATCATCATCATCATCATCATCATCATCATCATCATCATCATCATCATCATCATCATCATCATCATCATCATCATCATCATCATCATCATCATCATCATCATCATCATCATCATCATCATCATCATCATCATCATCATCATCATCATCATCATCATCATCATCATCATCATCATCATCATCATCATCATCATCATCATCATCATCATCATCATCATCATCATCATCATCATCATCATCATCATCATCATCATCATCATCATCATCATCATCATCATCATCATCATCATCATCATCATCATCATCATCATCATCATCATCATCATCATCATCATCATCATCATCATCATCATCATCATCATCATCATCATCATCATCATCATCATCATCATCATCATCATCATCATCATCATCATCATCATCATCATCATCATCATCATCATCATCATCATCATCATCATCATCATCATCATCATCATCATCATCATCATCATCATCATCATCATCATCATCATCATCATCATCATCATCATCATCATCATCATCATCATCATCATCATCATCATCATCATCATCATCATCATCATCATCATCATCATTCCAATCAATACCTGAACTACCTAATTTCGAATGAGTATCAAATGAATGGTATGCATTATTGTAACTAAACTCTTACCACTTCAACTGATGTCTTTCAATGATGAGAAATGTGTGAATATTGATTGTTCTCTTGAACTCTGTAACTCTACAATCGTGTGAATTGAGTGAGTGATCATTTGTGAAATTAGTAGTGATAGGTTTAGTGTAAGTCGAAACGAGTGAGACCGAGTTCACATCTTGTATTAAGAACATGAATGGATCACTGATGAATGAGTATTCTTCCATCAAACTGTGTCTCACGAACAATGTGAATCATTTCGAACAGACCATCAAATATGTGAATGTGTCCAAACATTCGAATTTCACAACAACAACAACAACGGGAATTTAACTTCATCATCTACTTTACTTAGGTCAACTATGTATAAAATAATCAACATTCGAAAATCATGTTGGATTTATGTTTAATTTATGACAGAATTATTGATAAACATGCCGTAATTCGATCAACTCTGTTATTGAATATAACAGCATTGACTGATGTAAACTATCTGGTTGTGGAGATATATATTAGCTGAATGGGATATATTCAAAATATATGTGAAGACGTCAATAATGTGATGAGTGTAGTGTGATTAACGAGACAGAGAATGTAGAGGTGTAATTAAAGCATGAAGTATGTGAGCCATTCGATAATGCAACAACGAACAACTTGTCGTCACTCTGTCAGTCAGTCAGTCAGTCAGTCAATAATAACGTGAAAGAATGAGCAATTTTCAACACTTATAACATCACACCAATATTTCCATCATCACAAACGAATCAAAATTCTACTACATCCGTGTGGTAAATTTCACACATTCTGTATTCTCTCTATATAATGGTGATGATGAATAGATGTGAGATAATGCTCTGTGTTTCAACGGAATATTCACCATTACACAACATCGGTGTATGTTATGAGTACTCTATTCACTCGACTAGTCACACCTGTTCATTTCAAATAATCTACAAAATTAATCGTAATGAGGAGAGCGATTTATGAGTTGAACAATTGTTTGTGTTTCTCAAACATTTCACAATTCTCTAATTGGTAATCAGTGAACGTTCTACCACATTGTGTAATAAAACACACTGTCGATCTACACTGATCCGAGTTGTCAGTTTAGTGGTAAACGGAATTCAGTATAAAGTGAGAATGCACAAGATTGATTAAACCAATATTACATTCCTGATCACGTTCACTGAGATGTTAACGAGTTCCATGTGCCGAATGTTCTGAGACAGAGTGTTTCGATAAGACTACCGAAAAACAACAAACAAATACTTTCATCAGTGAATTTAACAGTGTGTATTTTCGATTTTATTGAGAATATGAATTGTTTATTTGCATATCTTGTATTTTGGCATAGATGTTCACATCGAATGATCAAGTGATCTGAATGAAACGTAAATCAACAGACTATTTTACAATGTTAAATATTTAGAAAATCTGAATGATGAAAACAATGAGAATGGTTGTGATGCATCAACGATAATAAAAGTGTGTGTTTGTGTTTGCGTGTGTGTACGTGTTAGAGTAGAAGGAGTGGGAGGAATGTTTCTGGTTGTCAACGATTATGGTGATGCAGATGCCATCAACTTCTTACTATCGCGTTGTGATTCTTCATAATCAATGTCCACAACGAAATCGGATTTCCTATCCAAATGTATACCGATAGTCAATTCGTATAAGACTGCACCGATCACAGCACCAATATACGGTCCAGCTATTGGTATCCAGAAGAAGTAGTTTCCTCCACTGAATGCTTGGTTACCCCAACCTAAACATGTGTTGTGAAACAGTGTATAATAAAGTGAGAATATGTGGATAGATTACAAACTGAATGTAATGCATATTGATCGTCATGTTATTCACTGATTATATTGAAAATATTTGGATACGAACTGTAGTAATTCTATGCAAGAGATGATTAGATTAATGTAAGTAGTAGTAGTAGTAGTACAATGAAGTTATGTTCAGTAGTTCACGACAGAAGTGACATCACTATGTTCAGTTTAGTGTAAGCATGCACGATAATCAAGGCAAATGGAAGTTATCTATCATCCATACATTTGTGTGATTTAATCGACAATTAATAAACCTAGTTGAATGGCTTTTTCGAATCATTTTAGAATGTCCTATTAAAAGTATGGGAACACTTTAATCCTTCATCTGATCGATTTCCACTCTCGTCTACAGTGGCATTTGATCGTGAATTCCCACTACACACATCAACATAATCCACCCAATACACTGTATCTCAATTCCAATTAAATGACCTATGTGAGACACTGCAAAATGTTCGACCGTATGAAGATAGGACAAATTCATCGTCAACCTGTCACTCAACTTTGCACCACCAATATTCTCTCTCATATTTTACAGTTGATTGATCATTTTTGATTTCACAGATTGAAATCATGAGTCAGTTGAAGCTAGACCATCATGGAAAATCTGAAAGCACTGGACGGCCGTTTCGTCCTAGTGTGGTCTCCTCATCAGTGCGCATCCACTGTCCCTCACCACGCGAGACTCGGACCCAGGACCTACCGGTTTTGCGCGCGAGCACTTAACAATTAAACCACTGAGCCCACATCGAACGCTGTTAATGTCTAACTTCAACCAATCCACGAAGTTGCGCCACCGTACACCATTGTCTTCAGTGAGCTGATATCTCACGAAAGACCAGTGGAGTTCAACCAGGTCATGGATGCGCACTGCTGAGGAGTCCCATACTAGGACGAAACGGCCGTCCATTGCTTCCAGGTTTTCCACGGTGGTCTAGCTTCAACTGACTCAGGATTTCAATCTGTGAAATTTCTAAAGTCTTCACAAACCCCTTCTGATATTCTTGATTTGTTGTAATCTAGCAATTTTTGCACATGAATGATCACAGAATTTCTTAATCTGAATATCATGTGATGATACGAGTAACATGTGTGATCATCCGATCTTCTTATTAACACATTGTGAATGGATGAGAATGATGTGTGGTGAATAGATCGTTCAGTGTATGCATCGGTATCATTGTTCATTTACACAGTGTTGATGTTGTGGTTAGCCACTCAGAAACTGCATAATAGTATTGAATTTGTGAGAGTGTTACTTCACAATCATCTCTTATAGACGAGTTCTTTCTATCGATTCATCTACGATTTTTGTGATGAATATGATGATGAAATGACTGAGTGAATACCGTGATACTCTAGTGATTTGTGAGTAATGTGTTACTGTCGAAATAGTGAATGGTGATGATTGTGGATAAGATTGATTGAATAGAGTTGAACCAAACTAAACCCAACTGAAATGAAGTGAATTGTACCTTATTGGACTGAAGTGAACATGCACGACAATTTGATTGGTGAATGAACTCTCACTTTTTTTCATTTATATAATAGTCGTACTAGTGTTTGTAATATAATATGTTTTGGTATTAAAAGTGGTAATATTATTAATGGTGATAGGCCGATCAACTTGTTTCATAATCGAATCACATCGTATCAAAGTGTTTTTCTGAGAAAATGGATGATTTAGGCACAATCTCGTATATCGTTTTTCAATGACCTACATCATTCTCGAAAGCAACATAACACCAACCTGAAAATACCGAAGTTATTGAAAATAGGCTACATCTGTGGAATATGTCATGCATGTTTCCCTCGAGTGTGCCAGTACATATGTTATCATTCAACACCAGTAGAGATGACTAACATAAGTATAGATATGTGTGCATAATGTTTTCAAAGATGTAATCTGACCGTAAGTACAAACATGAACCACTCAGTTAGATGGTCCACATAATTTCCCCTTCATGTAATAATAGAATTCCTGTTTGAACTGTGACGAATGATGATCACAGCAGATTTGAGGCTACGAACTAACTAACTAACGAGAATGCTTATTGTGATGACGTTAACTGTGGTTGATGATGGTGATCATCATCATCACCATCATCAGTTAATTTGACAGCCACTCTCGTCGAACACATTGTGGATGATTTAAATGTATAAGATTTCTAATCATATGATAGACTGAATCAGTGTCAGTGTGTATCTGATGATCACTGAAATAGACTCATCTCTCTTAATGCTATCGGATCAAATGGGTAAATCACAGTGTAGAGTGGTATGAAAACATTGTAAACATTTTAGTTATGTACTGACAATGTGAGTGAGAATGACAAAGTGAGCTTCCTAATCAAATCACCGAATACATATCATATTGTGACATTGATAGAATCTACTTGGTGCAAACAACCATCATTATTTCGATCAAGTTCGGCAAAATTGTGTCTGGATTTAGACTGTCGAAATAGTGGATGGTGACGAATGTGGGTAAGATTGATTAAGGAGAGTTGAACCAAACTAAACCTACTTGAAATGAAGTGAACATACAGTAAATGTTGAGTTACTTCCCTTGTTGATGCTTTGTAATAATGTGTGTTAAACAAATCTACTCACTGTCAAGTACATGAATGGATGTTGCAATAATATGAGAATTACTATCGTGAGAACAAAAGGTCTAGTGGAGTTATGTGATGTGAGTGTGATGGTGTTAAATAACTTTAACAAAATTATGAACATTACATCTGATTCAATTCCTAATGATAATGAAAATCAGTTATGGTTGGACGAAAACCAAAACTGAAATTATTCTATTTTAGTGTAGTCAGTGATTAAGGCAATCAATTGTTAGTCGGTCAGTCAGTAAGTCAGTGAGTCAATCGGTCGATTTGTGAAGTGATATCATCTGAGTTTCAGATATGTTTATGGACGAAGTAAAGTGTGAGTCTACTCATGCAACTGTTAATACTAGTTAGTGAGAATTGAGAGCAAGCGAATAGTATGAATGGGAAATGAACAACTTACCGAATATAAATATCATGAGTCTGGGTCCCAAATCACGAGCTGGATTTAGAGCAGCTCCAGCATTCAATGCGAAACAACCAACAATAGCGTAGACCATAAATGCCAAATGTAGTGGGTGTAAGT